CAACATGTTATACCGGGTCTGACATTGACTCTAGTCTCTATACAACATGTTATACCGGGTCTGACATTGACTCTAGTCTCTATACAACATGTTATACCGGGTCTGACATTGACTCTAGTCTCTATACAACATGTTATACCGGGTCTGACATTGACTCTAGTCTCTATACAACATGTTATACCGGGTCTGACATTGACTCTAGTCTCTATACAACATGTTATACCGGGTCTGACATTGACTCTAGTCTCTATACAACATGTTATACCGGGTCTGACATTGACTCTAGTCTCTATACAACATGTTATACCGGGTCTGACATTGACTCTAGTCTCTATACAACATGTTATACCGGGTCTGACATTGACTCTAGTCTCTATACAACATGTTATACCGGGTCTGACATTGACTCTAGTCTCTATACAACATGTTATACCGGGTCTGACATTGACTCTAGTCTCTATACAACATGTTATACCGGGTCTGACATTGACTCTAGTCTCTATACAACATGTTATACCGGGTCTGACATTGACTCTAGTCTCTATACAACATGTTATACCGGGTCTGACATTGACTCTAGTCTCTATACAACATGTTATACCGGGTCTGACATTGACTCTAGTCTCTATACAACATGTTATACCGGGTCTGACATTGACTCTAGTCTCTATACAACATGTTATACCGGGTCTGACATTGACTCTAGTCTCTATACAACATGTTATACCGGGTCTGACATTGACTCTAGTCTCTATACAACATGTTATACCGGGTCTGACATTGACTCTAGTCTCTATACAACATGTTATACCGGGTCTGACATTGACTCTAGTCTCTATACAACATGTTATACCGGGTCTGACATTGACTCTAGTCTCTATACAACATGTTATACCGGGTCTGACATTGACTCTAGTCTCTATACAACATGTTATACCGGGTCTGACATTGACTCTAGTCTCTATACNCATTTAGACATTTTAGCCTGTGTGGAAAATGTAATGAGCGAAATTCAATCTTGTATGTGATTTTTCAAATTTATTTATTGGAATGCATGAACAGTGTGATAACTCTGAGGGTAACAACACCAATGTCAATGTATGGCTAAATGACAAATGACATCACGTCATTATACAATGTAACTTATAATCTGAGCGCGCTTTCATTCTCGGACTTCAATCAAATAAAAAATACGGATTATTTTAATATATGCATGTTATTCTATTAATTAATATGTGCTTTATAACTTACATGTACATATCATCGTTGATATTAAGGTAGCAGATGGTACTTATACGGGTAGCGTTATTTTATCACATTTTTCTTTCACTTCTTAACCGTTATCTTCACGTTCAACTCGATCATTGTCAAAATTGGTTACACTTGTCATATACAAACCGTGACCATATGAATGTCAAATAAATAGGCTTTACATATGTCTATTTTCATTCCGATAGCTCTGAAAGCACGTGTTTTACAAAGCCGGCCGTGTGCCACAAACGTCAAACCTGACACGAAATGACGTTAAAAGTGTGTTACACTGTTGTGCGTCAACATCTGACGTTACGTCAATGTAGAGTGGGACTTTGTTTCTGCTGTTAAATACATCGAAAACTGATCTTAGAGACGGATTGTAAAATGTGCTGCACTTAACACATGCAATACGTGTCATTGGTTGTCATACCGATTCCACGTTTTGTTGCAGTTGTCATACTGTCATAACGAGTCTATATTTCGTGTTGATGGTTATACTGAGTCTATGTTTGTCTTTGGCGGTCATAACGAGTCTATCTTTCGTGTTGATGGTTATACTGAGTATGTTTGTCTTTGGCGGTCATAACGAGTCTATATTTCGTGTTGATAGTTATAACGAACCGGAGTTTGTTGCTATAGGGTTATACAAGCCTATATTTGGTAAAGGTGCTAAGGACATCTTTACCAATAGAAATGTAGATATCTAGGTGTACCGATTTGTTTCCTACTAGTGTTAGGCTATAGCCATTTGACGCTATTGTTACTGATGGATATGTTGCTATTATAACGCGATAAAAGACCTGATTGATTTCAACCTGTCGATGCATTGTTGAATTTCATTGAACATTTGCTTTGTTGTTTTGCTTTCGATAGTAACCTAACAATTGCTCTGGCTGTCATTACTGGTTGTTTTTTGTTATTGCTAAATCTAAATAAAGGTGTGATTACTGCTGATAACTGCTGCATGTGGGTTTGGTTGTCGTAATAACTGCTGTATATGGGTCTGGTTGTCGTGATTACTGATTCATATGTTGGTCTGGTTGTCGTGATTACTGATTCATATGTGGGACAGGTTGTCGTGATAACTGATTTTTATGTTGTTCTGGTTGTCGTGATAACTGATTTATATGTGGGACAGGTTGTCGTGATGACTGCTGAATGTGGGGCTGGTTGTCGTGATTACTGATTCATATGTTGGTCTGGTTGTCGTGATAACTGATTTTTATGTGGGACTGGTTGTCGTGATAACTGATTTATATGTGGTACAGGTTGTCGTGATAACTGATTTATATGTTGGTCTGGTTGTCGTGATAACTGATTTCTATGTTGGTCTGGTTGTCGTAATAACTGATTTATATGTGGGGCTGGTTGTCGTGATAACTGATTTATATGTGGGACTGGTTGTCGTGATAACTGATTTATATGTGGTACAGGTTGTCGTGATAACTGATTTATATGTTGGTCTGGTTGTCGTTATAACTGATTTATATGTGGGCCTGGTTGTCGTGATAACTGATTTATATGTTGGTCTGGTTGTCGTGATTACTGATTCATATGTGGGTCTGGTTGTCGTGATAACTGATTCATATGTTGGTCTGGTTGTCGTGATCACTGATTCATATGTTGGTCTGGTTGTCGTGATAACTGATTTATATGTGGTACAGGTTGTCGTGATGACTGCTGAATGTGGGTCTGGTTGTCGTGATAACTGATTTATATGTGGTACAGGTTGTCGTGATGACTGCTGTATGTGGGTCTGGTTGTCGAGACAACTGATTTTTATGTAGAACTGGTTGTCGTTATAACTGATTTATATGTGGTACAGGTTGTCGTGATAACTGATTTATACGGGTTTGGTTGTCGTGATAACTGATTTATATGTGGGACTGGTTGACGTGATAACTGATTTATGTGTGGGACTGGTTGTCGTAATAACTGGGGTATGTGGGTCTGGTTGTCATGATGACTGATTTTTATGTTGTTCTGGTTGTCGTGATGACTGCTGAATGTGGGTCTGGTTGTCGTGCTAACTGATTTATATGTGGGACTGGTTGTTGTCATAACTGATTTATATGTGGGACTGTTTGTCGTGATAACTGATTTATACGGGTTTGGTTGTCGTGATAACTGATTCATATGTTGGTCTGGTTGTCGTTATAACTGATTTATATGTGGTACAGGTTGTCGGGATGACTGCTGAATGTGGGTCTGGTTGTCGTGCTAACTGATTTATATGTGGGACTGGTTGGCGTGATAACTGATTTATATGTTGGTCTGGTTGTCGTGATACCTGATTAATATGTGGGACAGGTTGTCGTAATAACTGATTTATATGTGGGACAGGTTTACGTGATAACTGGTGTATGTGGGTCTGGTTGTCATGATAACTGCTGAATGTGGGTTTGGTTGTCGTGATAACTGATTATATGTAGGACTGGTTGTCGTGATAACTGATTTATACGGGTTTGGTTGTCGTGATAACTGGTGTATGTGGGTCTGGTTGTCGAGCTAACTGCTGTTTGTGAGTCTGGTTGTCGAGATAACTGCTGTTTGTGAGTCTGGTTGTCGAGATAACTGATTTATGTGAGTCTGGTTGTCGAGATAACTGCTGTATGTGAGTCTGGTTGTTGAGATAACTGCTGTATGTGAGTCTGGTTGTCGAGATAACTGCTGTATTTCAGGCTTGTTGTCATGATTGACGTTGCAGTATTAATTTGGTTGATTATTATGATATATCATGCATTGTTTTAACAATGATCTTGTTCAGTATTATATGGTATATTCATTTGATATATCATGATATGCTACCGAACGTTTTCAAACATACACTAACATCAGTGTAACATAGAAATCACTGACTGTACTACAACCTTTCATATATACTACTTACAACTTATCATATTTAATTTTGTGTGGCAGTCAGTCCGTGTGTGTTCGTGCCATTATGCGGTTTACTGTGGCCTCTGTAAGTCTCTAACAGTTATCATTGAATTGAGTTATATGGATTAGTGGGTTTAAAGCCCCTATCCCTGGTCAATCTACATATCAGTTAATTGGAGCTGTTTGTAACGCTGGTATTTAAATGTCTACATATGTAGAGTTGTAGTAAGTAATTGTGACTTTGTTCATTATGACATTTAAATATAACTATGTAATTAATAGAGATCAAATGGCAGGGCCTCGAGGGCCGACCATTCCTCAATACACCGACTCTCTGTATGAGTATACGCTACCACAGTGTACGTTCTCTAACTTACGTGTAACAGGCTGTTAATGCTCATACAATCGCGGCTCCTCGTCTCATTAAAACAGCAACGGCAATTTTAGATTTTAATCAAAATGATGTAAAATTGTAGTCTCCATATTATAAATGAATCTGCTTCTTGTGGTATTTTTTTCGCTATCGGTGTTTTCATTCAGGTGACAAAAAAGAAGGGAAGATTAGAAATACGATTCTATTTAATACTAATATAGTATTAACGCTGACCGTTCCGGGTGTTACCTATCAATCGCTGGCAAAAATATTTACAAAGCATAAATCCGCGGCCCAGCTAACCAACCAATCGGTCTAAAGAGTGTTTAAAAAGTACGTAGGAAAACATTTTAGTATTTGTCGGAAAGGTTAACACTTTGCCTGAGTTATGATTTTGGCGTAATCTGAAATGTACATTTAGACTATGTATGAATCAATATATGTATATCGTAATAGAGACTAGTAAAGCCATCCCGATACTATAGAAACTCACCTCTCCATTTTCGTGACCATTTCCTTTGCCACCTTTCCTTAATTTCACCGGCGGAAAAAATCCATTGACTTTTCGTCTACTCTTTCCACGAGGAACCTCGAATCCATCAAAAGCTACCACGCTGGGTTTGGACACTTGTCTTGGTTTGTTATTGTAATCTATAGACGAGCTATATATGTGTGAAGGTCTACCCTGCCTGCCCGGCATGTTGGATTGTAAAACATCCGTGTAAGCCGGGACACTTCGAACGTTCACCTGCGTACCACGTCCTCCACCGGGAATAGTCACAGATACCGGAACTGTCCCCACACCATCAGCGCTGATCCCTGCTGCACCACCTAGTCTGTGTGGCCCTCTCAGTGAACTTTCGTTAATGGGCGGTAATTTGACCCCTGGGCTGGCTTGTTGTGACGACATGAGTCGCTCATGAGCGGTGTAATTATATGTAATGTATCCCGACTAAAACTTAAATCCTCTTTTCAGAGATCTTAAACGTTGATTCCTCTTAAAACACGTTCTATTGTCTATAGGTAAAGAACGACGAGTCGTAGGTCATTTAAATTGTATTGGAGCGTAGATATGGGCCTATTCTCAAGCCCCACAAGTCCATCGTAGGTCGGTGTGTGTTAGGGAAACACTTCAACTTAATAGCTCGATCTTTGCTTTAAAATTAAAATAGCTATGCTCTATAAGCTATTCAACGGCGTCATGGCCGGCTACCTCCCCTTTGAGAGAGATCACAACGATTTGCGACGATAGGTTCTTAACACGCCTTGTGTGTATGTGCCACGCTATATGAAAAAAATATCTGACATTTCCAAGTCCTCAATCTTTCTAAATGGTCACATAACAAAAATGTGTACCCGGTATAGGAACAAGGTGAATATTTCCTCACCCATGGGTCTGATATGATCAATAGTCCGTATCTACCAATCGCAGATCGATAATTGAACAATGGGTCTACATGCGCATTCCGTAAGTCGTGTAATACACAGCCTACCTGGACACGGACAGTACAATATGTACAGCTTATATGTGCATTAATACCATCTCTATCTACACAACAGTAAAGAAGGCTAAACTCAAATATTTATTTTTAATTCACTCTTCTGTGAGTGTCATTTTTCGCCAATCTGAATCAGAACCCCGAAAAGTTTAATAAATTTAATTAAATTTCACGTGTAAAATTGGTTCATGTTAAACGATTGATAACATACATACAGGTCTTTACCGTATGTGTAGTTCCTTTGGAGAATCACAGGGTCGGTAGGACAGCGAAACATCCTACCGCACATTTTTGTTTCGTGTCATTGGGTAATTATTTTTGAATAAAATCATGTGACTATAAGGTAATTATTGAAGATATAACTTATTTACGATCAGTAATGAACGCAGCGTGTTCACGTGAAACACGGACGAAAGGACGCTCGCTTATACGGATAGGTTTGAGGCACGACGGACGCACAGTCAGACACAAGCGGATGGATGTCGAGGTAAGCATACGTTTACACACGTGCATCCTTGAACTACTGTACGGGTGACGACCGTAGTATTGGATCTTATGGGTAATACGCAATATCAGAAGCAGCTGGGTCATCTCACTGAAATTGATCACACGCGACGCTAGTTATTCACTGCAGAGAATTCAATTTGATTGTCACTGAAATAATGATTTTGAGTCGATAAAATCATGCAAATTGCAGATCGAAGTTAGCGAGCACCTAAAAGCAAATCCTAGTGACGATATGCTCTGCTATAGAATATGACTCCAGGCTTAAGTGACAATATGGTCATTACTTCGCCTCGAACGATGTCCATGGTCGCTACCGAGGCCAGTACCAATACGTTTAGGAGGGAGTCGATGCCCGAGATTTAACAGCTTAAATAGAGAATAATAACAGCATAAACCGTTAGGAGGATGGCCGTAAGGAGTCTGAAGAAGCAGTGGTGGTGCCACAAGTACAAAAGGCCGCTAAGTTTGACAAGGTGGTGCGCCGCGATATGTAACCCAGGCGGTAAATCAAACTGATCTTTAAACTGTTACAACACAATGGATTTGAGGATCACGTTATCCCACCGATACCATATCCACTATCAAGAATTATAACAATGAAAGTAACTCTTGTTCGCATCACTTCGAGATGAAAAGAAAATCGATGGAAAGATATGTCATATATAGAACGAGGATAGACAAGAAAACAGAGGATTACGAGATCGCGATTGGTCGCAGTTTTTGGCCAGCAGGGGAACCCAGGAAACGCGTCCAGAGAGGTATACTGAAGATGGCGTGCAACAACACTGTATATCTGGTACAGGGAGATGTAGATGACGTGCATCACTGTATACCTGGTACAGGGAGATGTAGATGGCGTGCAACAACACTGTATACCTGGTACAGGGAGATGTAGATGGCGTGCAACAACACTGTATACCTGGTACAGGGATGAAGATGGCGTGCAACACTGTATACCTGGTACAGGAGATGTAGATGCGCTCATGTGTACGCAAAGCTCCTTCGAGCGTTGGTGGAACGCGCGGGGTGTTATCCGTACGTAAAAAGTTAAAAATCATAGACGTTTTTTGGAGCAGATTGGCTTTTCTTTTGCACCAGACCGGGAAAGCCCTGCAGGTTCAGGAAATAAAAAGACCTGTCGTATCCACTTTATGCTATTTATCGTTAGGGTTACGACAATCAGAACTTCCTGCAGAAAAGTCACATTTCCCCCCTTTGTTCCTTCTACACAAGGGACACCGGAGGAACAAAAATTGTTTGTGCTGTTCCATTCACAAAACTTGGGGTCTTTCTCCTTTGTTGTTCTCTCTTCCCTTTATTTCCAGTGTCTCCCTAGACAGTCGTTCTCGGATTGACCTTAGACGTTTAATCACGAACAAACAATACGCCCATGTTCTTGGAATAATAGAATGTCACTCCAGTGTGATGCAGACAGAAACTTCAACCCGATGGTAACCATTTTGAGATTTCGCACGAGACATTAGCAATTGCTTAACTTCGATAATCTTATCCGAAGTTTTGTTTGTCTTCATCAAACAGAAGAATTTATTTTTAGCACATTACTTCTCATGCGCAAAACTAATCTATCTTGTATTGGTGCGCCCAATTCTAGGCACCGTCATCAATGATGTGATCCTATTTTGATAAGGTATACTGCAGGAATTGATTACACACTCCTGTTGTGAAGTGGTGACGTTTTCAGAACAAAACGCGTGGGAGCTCTCCCTAGGTTGGAGAAAATTATCAGTACAGCGAACGTGACGTCACAATAGGTTAGGAGAAAATTGACATCTTTCATTCCGACTGACAGTGATTATCCTAACAATTTTGTGGATTAATTTATCTTATTATTTGTGTTTTTGTTGTAAAGATTGACAGGAAATACAATTTATCCAAGGGATTAATATACAGATAGGATCATTCAAATATCAAAGAAAACCCTCGGTATCCTTCGGTTATATTCGATATTTCATCACTCCCTGAACAAGTTTTGCCACAAGAGAAATATCGTGTTAAACCAAATACACCTAGTATGTAAATAAAACAAGAGGCCTGTATCGCACACCTGGATATCTAAGCAATCATGGCAAAATATTCTCCAAATGAGATCCAATATGAGGGAATATGCCAGACCCCAAGGCCAATCCTTGTAGCATATCTGTATTAGATTTTTCATGCCCAGGAATTTTATGTATGGTTATGGGGTGGGGATCTCAATTGTTTCCAAGCTGTGACTCGGAAACCAGGTCCCTAGGGTTGTGGCCAGACCCCAGGATCAATTCTAATATCATGACTGCATTTGTCTCTTTTTGCCCAGCATTTGTATTTATAGTTTTGGGGTGGGGATCTCAACGGTTTCAAAGTTATGACTCGGGGGTTAAGTTTCCAAGGGTGGGGCAGACCCAAAGGCCATCCTGGAAGCATATATGCATTCATCTCTTTATACTCAGTAATTGTAAATATGGTTATAGTGTGGGGATCTCAACTGTTTCCAAGTTGTGACTAAGAAACTAGGTCCCTAGGGGTTCGGTCAGATCCCAGGGTCTATTCTAATATCATGACTGCATTCGTCTCTTTATGCCCAGCATTTGTCTATATAGTTCTAGGGCTGGGATCTCAACCGCTTCAAAGTTATGACCCAGGGACTATGTCTCCAAGGGTGGGGCCAGACCCTAAAGCCATCCTGGAAGCAAATGTGCATTCTTCTCTTTATACTCGGCAATTGTATATATGGTTATACGGTGGAGATCTCAACCATTTCCAAGTAATCAACTCTTTTTGACCCCACCCCTTAGCCCAGGGGGTCAGCCCCACCATTTGTACAATTTTGATTCCCTGCCTCCCATGAATGCTTCTGACCAACAAGAGTACCGCGGAGCGGAACAAAATACGCCCGTCGAATGCCATATAGTGTTATATACTTTCTTACATTGAAATAAGATCTGCATCACTCTAAGAGTGGTTAGCTGATATGCTATAAAAAATGTAGGAGAAAAATCTTCAGACAAAAAAATCAAATACTGAAATGAACAAAAGGCAATAAATTTTGCAAAAATGGTCGAATCAAAATTCTTTTAAGGGAGACACAACTTCATATCATGATTATAAAGTATACTAAGTCTCAAAGAGATCCGTTGAAAAATGTAGGAGGAGATTTCCGGACAAAAAACCAATACTGAAATGAACAAAGGGCAATAACTAAAAGTCTTTTGGAAAATTTGTCGAATCAAAATTCTTTTAAGGGAGACACAGCTTCATACCATGATTATAATGTATACCAAGTTTCAAATAGATCAGTCGAAAAATTTAGGAGGAGATTGCCGGACAAACAAAGTTTACGCCGGCCGGACAACGCCATACCATAATACTACCGTCAAATTTGACGGTCGTATAAAAATGATCATTATCCATGGCATAGTTCTACAGAAGAAGTCGTTTATAGCAATATAGACAATTTGCCCCGCCCCTCAGCTCCTGGGGGTAGAGACCTATCATTTGTACAATTTTGAATCTCTACTACCTAGGTATGCTTCCAGTCAAATATGGTTGATATCCATCACTTAGTTCCAGAGAAGTTGCTTAAAGCAATATAGCTAAATTGCCCCTGCCCCTCAGCCCCACCGTTTGTACAATTTTGAATCTCGACTACCTAGGGATGCTTCCAGTCAAATATTGTTGATATCCACTTCTTAGTTCCAGAGAAGAAGTTGCTCAAAGCAATATAGCCAAATTGCCCCAGCCATTGTACACTTTTGAATCCCCACCACCTAGGTATGCTTCCATTCAAATATGGCCGATTTCCATCTCTTAGTTCTAGAGAACTTGCTCAAAGCAATATAGCCAAGTTGTCCCCTTTTGGTCCCGCCATTTGTACAGTTTTGAATCCCCATCACCAAGGAATGCTTCCAGTCAAATTTAGTTAAATTCTAATCAGTGGTTAAGAAGAAGTCGTTTAAAGAAATTGTTGACGTACGGACGCCACGGTATGGCATAAGCTCACCTTGATCATTCGGACCCGGTGAGCTAAAAATCAAAATAACTATTACTAATCCGACATGCTTTCAACATTCGCAGGTCCGCCAGGATTTATTTCCAAAAATATTACATTTAAAAACAAAACGGTTGAAACAGGTCCCAGCAGTATCTCCGAAATAGTGGAAAAACAAAGATTTCCTGATTATAAGGATGAATGATGTTATATATTTAGAGGTTATTACATGACCATTTTGATATCATATCCCTTATCAGCCCGAGAGTCCTGATATCAGCCCGAGGGGCCAAATGCCACGAGGGCTGATATCGGGACCGAGGGCTGATAAGGGATATGATATCAAAATGGTCATATTATAAACTTTTTATCATATGTTCAA